AAGCAAGCAGGTGGTTTATGTCATAGTATCACAAGATAAAGAACCTTTATGAAAATGCACAGAGACAAAGTGAAGAAAACGAAAGTAAGCTGATAAAAATCTGTCAAATAATGAGCCCACACACAAAAACTCATCGTTCATAAGCCTAAAACTCTGCGTCAGAGAAAAACAGCACCAGTCTGCTCTAACACTTCTTTCCTTCTGTAGGGTCTGGCAAGATCTGGCTGGACGAGCTGCGGTGCACAGGAGCCGAGGAGAATATCTTTGATTGCCCTCAAGGTCAAATCGGTGTTAATGACTGCAACCACAATGAAGACGCTGGGTTACACTGTCTGTAGACTGACGATCGCTGCTCTCGTGGAATCAAGAGCAGCAAAATGTTTTCAGAAACTCAGTGTTCAGTATATATCACAGGAATATTACACATTTTACTTCACTGTTTTGCTCAAAACTGACTTTAATGATTGAGCTTTAAAAACCTGTTATGAGCTTGTGATTCAGTACTACACAAAAGCCTGCACATTAATGACGTAACAGTAATTTTCCTTGTAGATCACTATAAAATATTCCTGATAAATTAACTCAAAGTGTTTGTAATTGCTTGCAATCTGTGACCTTTAGCCCACTAAATACTGCACTTTGTACCGTGAGGTAATGGCTCTGGATACTCACCACTGTCAAACACATCGACACACAGCTCACTGACCAGGGAGCAGCACTGAGACTAATGTGTTCACATCTCAGTCTAATTATATATTCACACAATATATTTTATTTATTTAATTTTAATCTCAATATTTAACATATTAGCTTAAACCAATGCTTCTCACTGACTTCTCTTATGGCCCCCCCAGGAAGAAAAAAACATTTTGCGCCCCCCACAACTATAAATAGTATCATTTGTCTATAAAATTGTTATATGTACACCTCGCTTTAACACTTTATCCTCATTTACATTAAAGAAAACAAAAAAGAAAGAAATACACTGTAGATCAACTTACAACCAAAAATAACTTTATTAACATTTTTAGTCTGTAAGAGAAAAAATTGCAAGAATTTGCCTGAAATAAAAAAGAAATTAAATCCTTACTTAAACTTTGAACATTTCTGCACATGCGCACAACACGAAATTAAATGGCGAACCGTCCTACCTTTGAGAATATTAGTAAGAAAAATACTCTGACGGGTAAAATTAAGTGCCAAACCGTCCTGCCTTTGTGAATGT